CTACCAAAAATATCCTTTCCCATCCATTATCTGTACTGCTTATCCAGTGGAGGGTTGTGGGGGGGCGAGAGCCAAGCTGACAATGGGAGTGAGGTGGGGTACACCCTGGACAGGTTGCCAGTCTATCACCATTCAAACATGTACTAGGTATAAGCAAACTGATTCTGAATCAGCATTGGTTGGATTTGTATACTTATGTGTGTGTTTATGTCGTTTGTTCTGCATGTTTGAAAGAATAAATCAAATCAAATCAAATCAGGTATAGAGAGTTATCAGTGCATTTAATTGAACAGTTAAATGTGCCAGATTTTGCCTAAGGACTTCTATGGAAGCTTAGTATTCATGTTAAATGAAGCTTTGGCCTTTTGGTGGGCCCAGCAGTGGGTATCAGGCCAGATGCCACATGTGGTATCAATCTGCTGGGCCCCATAACACGCGACATCATTCTGTAGCACTAACCTACAACACCTTTAAATGAACCTAACGTACTTTTAAGTTGCTTTTAACTATTACCCTCACCCAGTCAAAGAGTAAGTACTTGGCAAACACTCAACCAGCCTCATATCTACACTGTATCTTCTTAAGCTAAGATGTTGTTGCAGTTTCATCTGAATACCACAAACCACACAGTCGTCCAGCTGCTATCCCTACTAGCTCCACTAGTCCTACTAGCTAAGACAGAAAATGACTACACTCTGACCTCATACACCTCAAAGCATTCTTGAATCCTATGCTCACCCAAGTAAAGAGCAGATAATTGGTGGCGTGGTCTGGCCTTACATCTGCATAGTATCTGTTCAGGTTAAGCTACAGTGGCTGGTCCTACTGATTTGTTAGGCAGCTTTATCAGAGAGCCATGCCCACTCCGTTGCCCAACCACCATCACTGTATACTTTCACTAATCGCATTGATAACCAGGAGCTCCCACCCCACTGAATGAATTACACATCTGACCAACTAAATTAATACAACATTCATACCAGGTTAAGTTCACTCAGCTTGTTAACCGATCACAACCAGTCACCTCTTTGTCAAGCTACACAGTACACAGCATTATGCTACTATCAGCAACTGGCTACTAAACCCACCAAGCAACAGCCAAATAGACAGCCTTAGCTACCTAATCTTAGCAAGTAAGCATCCACTCCTATATTTGCAGCTAGCCTAAGCGAACTAACATGCAAACCATGTGCCAAGCTAACAAACACACTGCCTGATCCCAACTCTTCTGTTCAACCTTGTAATACACAGCTTGTGTTTCCAATGACAGACCTAATTTCAGTATTTAGTCACATCTAAAGATTGCATCAATTAACTGCGGTGACTACTGTTTTATTAAAACTGACAGAACCAAATAAATGAAAGCAAAGGCTGGAGTTAAAAAAGCAAAAGCCAAGATGTAATAATGCCAGTTTTGCTTTAAATGTATTTAATTTTTACCATTTGCACAGATGACTAGACACAGTTAAATCTGAAATTCAGTCCGTCACTTCATACAGAATTTTATAGTCAATTCAGTGCAGAAAACAGCAAGTGAATGTGATTCTACATACAAGTCAATATTAAAAAGCAACAGATTGCACTGAAGTGAAAAATGCTTATTAATCAGTTTGACTACTGTACATTAACCTGCAACCAGTAATGCATTAGTATACCCTATACCAGGGGTGCCCAATACGTCAATCCCGGTCGACTGGTCGATCTCAAAGGTAATGTTGTTAGATTGCGTGCCATTCAAAAAAAATTAGATGTTAGCCTATCAACCATCCTCCCTATGGCATTTGCCACTTGATTGACATGCAGGGCAACCACGCGCAGCAAACTGCACAAGCTACTGCAAAACACCAGTGAGCCAACTACCTTGAAGGTGTTCCAATTTATTACTAAAAAAAGGGTATAAAAATGAGTGGGGGAGCCAAATCAAATAAGAAACCGAAAACTTACCACTTCCATGTGGAATGGGAGGACTTTTTTTTTCACGCAATGGAAGGCGTGTGCGCAACTTGACATTACAGAGAGCACTACACAGAGCAGATTGACAATTGTCGGTCAGAGTTTGTGGAAATTGCTTTCAAGACTTTGCTTTACTTGAGCCAGTCGCTACATTTATGTGCTACCCATTTAGGGAAGATATTGAGGTTGATTCACTCGCATCAAAAACTGCAACACTGTTTCACCTGAACTGGTCTGGAGTGGAGGATGAGATATTGACACTACAAACTGACATTCAGCTGAAGTCCAGGGCTAATGAACGGTTTTGGAACTTACAGAGGAAAAGTACCACCTCCTTGACTGCGTTATTTGGCTCTACTTATTTATGTGAGACAGCATTTTCTCACATGAAGATTAAGTCCAAATACTGCTCCACCATGACTGATGATCATGTGGAAGGAGGACTGACCTCCTCTATCTGGGGGACAGATAGAGGAGGTGGCTGCTGGCTACCAGCAGCTGCTGTCCGGACTATACAGCCCAGGCTAATTCCATTCAGTGAAAGTCATCAGAGTAAGGTAATGACCAAAAATGTACTGAATTGTAGTATGCCTTAAGGGTTAATGCAGTTATGTAAGGTGCGTCAACAAATATTGCATTTATATAAAGTATATTCAATATATAT